CGGGCTGTGCCCGGCCGGGCCCCATGGACTAAGGCCCGGCCACCAGACGCTCGCCCTCGGGCACCCTCCCCGGGCCTGGCTCCAGGGCGGGGCCCCGGTAACCCTATCCCGGGCAGGGTAAACTGTTCCCTCGATATTCTTTTCATAAGGGTCTTCTGAATCGCTCTTTGTTTGAATCGCTCTGTCCCTCAAAAGTGAAGCCAAACAGGTGTTATGAGTCAGGGTGTAAAGGCACTGAGAAAAAAGCGTTTGATAAGTGTATCACTGAGAACCATTGTTCTTTTGGAGTGACTGGATTCAGTATAGTGTGGGGATTTACTACTGGTGGCATCATTTCAGTGATTTCATTTATTGCTCGCAGATCATGCACTAGATGGTGTTTTGCAGTATTAGCTTTCTTCACCACTTAAACAAAACATCACTCTTTGTTTGTTTTATTTTTTTTTTTTTTTTAAATTCTCCTTTCTCAAAAACAGAAAATGAAATTGTAGTTGTTCTTGGCTGAGAAAACACAAAACCTCTTTCTTGTAAGCGCAGCCATCTTGTGACACATTCAGGATCATTTGCACAGTCTTTATTATCCAAACAGATGCTGGCCTCTCATCATTAATCGTAGTATTATATGTATCAACGAGGAAAAGGCACATCATAAAACTATTTCAAACACAGCTGTGGCAGTACAGTCAACACCTGGATAACACTTGTGCCAGTGGCTCAGGAACGGCAGTCACCTCATTAAAGTTAATATCGTTAATAACAGATTTCTCAAGAATTTACCACGTCCTATTTTACCACATTACCCTGCTTCCAATTAAAATAGCTTTCCTTTCACCACCAGGATCACAGAGTAGGCTGTCACAAAGGCACAAAGCATGGTAATAAATATTATATTATTGACAGTAACAAAATATCTTTAATTTGTACAGACCACATATAAAATGATAGGAAAATACACGCAATAACCATATCGACCTTCATATAGGACTGAACGCTCATAGCTCAGTGAGCAACATGAATAGAATAGATTCACTGTAAACAAAAGAAATATATTCCATATTATATCAGTTAGAAAAATATTTTTTACATAGCATCACATCATTTACATCCTACATCAAGCTACTTTTATCATTATTAGAGCTATGTGCAAACATGGGACAGAAACCCACATAAGACTTTTTTTGCTTCACTGGCCAAAAATCATTATCTCCGACATAAATGAGTGAGATATTACTGACATGGATGTGCCAGCTTTAAAATGATTTAAAACTGATTCTTGTGTTAGTACATTTTTAAAAGAATATTTGTAAAAATAAATAAATAAAAATTGACCAAAGACAATAGAAGTTTAAGGGAAAAAATTCCACTCTTTGGTCTAGTTAATATTAACAGCTCTGATTGCATAAGTAACCCTCTTACTTTCACTATATGGACAAAAATATTAGACAATTCTTATTAATACAAGAATTCAGTTGTATAAAGTCAAATGCCTGGCCAGGCAGTCTGTATTTACAAAGAATTGGTTGTTCCAAAGAGCACACTTTAATGCTCCCGTTGCATGGGTTTACATGGTAGAGCAGCTCCTGCAGGTGTGCTGTGTGTTGTGTTGTGTCTGATATCCCAGTGTTGGTGTTGTCCCTGCATTATCATAATAATCTTGGTCCAGGATCAACATTGCAACTGACCATTCACTTTGTTGATAAAAGAGGAGGGGGGGATTCTTTTGTTTATATAAAACGTTGTGTGTTTTATTAACCATATTCTTTATAAAGTTATGCAATGTAATAAATATATTATCAAGTTAGGTTGGCTGTTAGCCAACTGGCATTATCAAGTTAGGTTGGCTAATGCCGTTTAGCATTAGCTTAGAATGTGGCTAAATTCTAAGCTAATGCTTGGCTCACTGAATGCTCCAACGTCATTGGTCAGGTGTAATGTTGATGCTGGATCAACATTATTATGATGATAACAACATCAACACGGGGATGTCAGACCGTGAGTAATGTGCAGCTAGGTCGGTAGTTCTGTCCACGTAGTTTATTTACATATTATTATTTTGCATATGTATTCTGAGTCAGCGGTATTCTTGAAGCACACTAGCTGATGTTTTAATGGCTAACCTGACTTTACATCACCACTTTTTCACTTTCAATCCTAAAGTTAACGTTACTCTATGTTATATACCAACACAGAGTATGTTATCATATTACATTATTAAAATTTGTTTTTAAGACTGTTATTTTTTACAATTTGCTGTGAACAATTTGACAATTTTATGGTCCATATAGTACGTAAATGTTAAGCTCAAGTAAGAGAATAATAAAGGATGTTACTACTGCACTACTCCAACCAGTTTTTTAATACGCTTGTCTCTTTCCCAGCATACGCAGACTGAGTTAGAGGATACTATTATTTAGCTTTAGCTACATATTTACTGTTGACATACAGGTTAGCTCTGTACTTAGCACTGATACAAAAAGAGAGAGGAAACACAAAATAAAATCCAACTGTCAACAGGTTTAAAGAAAAGTAATTAAACTGTTCACTCATGTTGTCATCCACATGGAAACTAAGCTATCATCTGACAGGGAATCTGGATCAAACTAGTTTGTAACTGGGGACAATGACTTCCGTGAGTTTCTTTTAATTTCCAGTTTTTTTTTTTCACTCCCAGTTTGATAAAATGTTATTTTTGATTTTGTTGCTTATGAAAAGAAGTTTGTGCGTTACTTGTTAACCCTGTTTTCAGTAATTATACTAAGTTAAATGGCTTCATAGCTTCATTGACTCTCCTTATTTAAGTCTTGGCTCATGCATTTTCCAGGACTGCTACTTAACTTTAATCTATGTTTATCTTTGCTGTCATTTCCATAAGTTTCATGAACGGCGTATAAACTCGCACTCCTGATCGTGGTTGAGAAGAGGGCGGGGATGAAGTGGACTCTTCTTGTATGGAGGGTGTGCCTCTGCTTGTTTGTGCGTCCAATTCGTCTTCTCCAGGCTGGACCGGACTGACACCAGCTTCAGACTCAGATGGGTGGATGTAGGAGAATGTCCCATGCTCCTGTGAGGGTCTGGAATCCAGGAAGCGGCTGTACTGGACAGGAGTGTACTTTAGTAAACTTGAATGTAGCCTGCTGGGGGGAGGGTTATTAAGCTTAAACGTCCTTGGCTGAGTGGGCAGTGTTAGAGAGATCGATGGATGTTGAATGGGAGGTGATGATGAGGGTTGTGCCAGGGATGAGGGCGCTATGGAGGAAGGGCTTGGTCTAAGTGATAGAGGATGAGTGGGTGATAAAGGCTGTGTCGGTGACAGTGGTTCGGTGGGTGATGGGAGTTTCACAGGTGATAGAGGATGATCAGGTGATGGGGGTTGGATGGGAAAGAGATGAGTTGGTTCACACTGAACAGGTTCAACATCATACCTCTGTGCTTCATGTCTGCAGAAGCACAGTCAGAAACCAGAGTGAGAAAACACCTCCTAATCAAGAAAACACAACCCAATGCTACTTAGTATCACAATCCTACCTGGGGAGCAGATCACAGCCTACTCCTTTCTCTCTGGTTTCCAAAACCTCTTGCGTCTTATTCTGTGTGGACATAAAATACTTGAGCTTGTCTTCTAATTCATTATTCTAGGAAAAGGAAAACAGGAAACAAGAAATATCAGGTCAGTTACATGCAAAAGACTATCGTCACTTTGCATGAAAAAAATGACCTGACGCTTGCAGCAACAAGCAGTAGAGGGGGATTAACACAGTTATTCAGTGGTCAGAAGCCCATGTGATCATCTGAAGCCATGAAGCAGATTATCACACCCCACCACCAGTTATTAAAACACACAGAAAGCACACCAGTCTCATCCTACCTCACACTCCACTATTGCAATCCTGTCCAGAAGCTCAGAGATGAACATGTCCTTCTGAGCAACTTGAGCTCGCAGAGATTCGACCTTCACAAATTCAAAAAGATAAGCATTTTAAAAACATTATTTATATAATTTACAGGGAAAACAGAAATGGAAAATCCAGTTCACAGCAAACTTAACTAGAGTCGTTATCTAATCTCTGTTTTTCCATACATAGAAATGAAGGCAATGAAAAACTGAGCCATAAATACTTCAGTGAAGACAAATAATGCCCCTTTATCTCCAACCCCTTCCCATCAAAATTATGAACATGAATTCACCCCGTTAGCATGATGTCCCGCCCTTTATTGACTCTGTGTGCAGTAAAGTTCTCCGTTCCTTGTGTGCATTGACATTAATCCATGGTTTTAATGGTAAACAGGCTACTTGTGCAAATGTATGAGACACTCCCACTATCAAAACAGTGGAACAGAGGAGTTGAATCCATGGTCTACATACAGATAAATAAATCCTACTCACCTCCTCAATCATTCCTTTGACCTTCCTCTGTTGACAGAACACCATGTCGTTCAAGTGTTTGATCCTCTCGCGGAGATCACCTGCTTCACCTTCCAGCTCTTTGGACCTAAAAAACAACCACGATGTAGTCCCACATATGAAGGAAATAGGACTCTAGCACCCTGATTCATTTGCAAACATCGATGAAAAAGTTATGTAGTTTTTTCCCTTCTAGGTAATTAATCTGCCTGCACAATGCTATAAACATCCTGAAAATCTCCTTTTAATTGCTCCAAAGTGCATCTTGCTCAACTGGTTTAAAGGGCCAAGCGTAAGCCGCTCTGCTTCGGGCTTCAAGAAAAAGTGTTTATGAAGGTTCTTAGCTGACTTGAAAAAACCTTTCAGGTCTGCACTTTAGGTAAACGTACGAAAGAATTTTAAGCTGAACTTTTACACAAAAACTAACATGTTTATTTTTTTTATTAATATCCCATCCTATTCAATTATTTCTCAGTATTATTGTTGGATGTGCTGTCTGAGGTGGGGTTTATCGTGCATCCTGTGTGTTTGCAGCTCCTTGTTTAAGATCTCTGCACCAAGAATGAAAGTTTCTCCTTGATGTTTGAGAAAACAAACCAAAGACAAAGAACTTCCTCACATCTAATGCAGTCTTGGCCAAGTTTTATCCACTTTTAGAGAAAGGGCTGTAATAGAGCCTTCAGATTCACGCGCAGCTTAAATTTTCTATCTGGACTTTAATTTGTACCTTTTGGCTACAGTTTCGTCAGTTCTGTCCGTCACCTCCATCAGGCGTAGGCGCTGTTCGCAGTCCTTCAGCTGCTTTTCCAGTTGGCTCTTCTCCTGTGGAAATCACAACATTTTATCTGTTTTCCTATGGCTGAATGAAAATCCTAATACTCAAAAGTTTGAGTCTTTTTGGGAAGTAAAATCACTGACATCGGTCGTCTCCTTAGATTACAGGGTCCTGATGGGGAACTTTGGCACGTAACATCCACCTGAAAAGATTCTCCTGGCAGGAAAACACTCCAAACTCCAACAATCCCTATCAGTTTGAGCATCAACTAAAGCAAGGCAACAATCCCAATCCATGGAGGCCCCACCCCACAGTCCACAGGAGTCAAAGGATTGACTGCTGGCACCCCCAGTGGTCCCGTGCCCAACCGGTTTGAGCTGTAGGGAAACCTCGGTATCAGGCATGTGGTTTTAAAGTAGTAGGTCCTAGGTGTTTTTGCAGCTGGCCAAGTGTTATGTTGTTTGCAGTAAACATGGACTGAACTCTACTACGTGCACATGTATACGGTCATAACCTTTTACAGAAGGTTGCTTTTGTACATTTAAGAAGTATCATCTTCATCGTTTCCTAAACATTTGACTGATATATGACAGATCCCTCAAAGTACAGTGTAATTTTTGTTTTACACAATTTTGTTCAAGGGTCAAGGGAACAGGAAGACATATACATACGTTACATTTTTGACTTACTTTTCCCATGCAGTCCAGGAGACGCTCCACTTCCATGATCCTCTGGTCCCTCTCTGCAATCTTGGCTTCTGCGATTTTGATGTTTCTCTCCGCTTCTTCCAGTCGTCTGATGTACTCATCGAGTTGGGCCTGTGCAAACAGAAATATGTCTGCCACTCTTCTCTCAGCTTAGGCTTGCCTCATTGTCAAGAATTTTGTAACTTTTTTATTTGTAAATTGTGTACAGTTATTTCCTTAGGTTATCTACGTCAATAGGTTTGGTTTCTGCTGTCAAAATAAAAACAAAAACAAAGTGTGATGTATGTATGAATAAGGACCAAAGAATGCAGACCTGTAGGTTTTCAATCTCCTCCCTGTGCCTGCGTTGTTCTTCCAGCAGCTTTTCCTCATACTCTTTCTCTAGCTTTTCCGAGAGCTCCTTTAGCGCCTTATCGTTGGCCTCCCGTGAAGACTCCACCTGGACAGTCCACAGCATAGCAAAAATTAGCACTTTGCTCAGCTGATTAGGCCACATTCTGCTCAGGGTAGAAGATGCAGATGCAGCTGATGTGTTTCTGTTCCGCAGCAATATGATATGTTAACAGAGCTGCTCGATAAAAGTTTGCTGTGTCTCAGATCACACAGTGATTTGAAAGCTGGACTCTCTGCTTTCTAATGTAAATTAAAACTTTTTTTTAAAAAAATAGGACAGGAGATGGTTTCTCAAAACTTCAGGAACTGTGATGATGATCGGTAAAGCTGGATTTTAATGTTACCTGCTGCAGAGATAGAAAAATGTTCTTTCATTTATTGATTTATTCACTGTTGGTAGGGGTCATGAAGTCCTAAACGTCCTGTCCTTCCATCACTCTTACTGACTCATCAGACCACTTTGTTACAGGACAGCTGAGCACTTCACTGTCCCTTTAAACATACACAAAACTTGAGGGAAAATTTTGAATTCCACCCATTTATTTTGGCCATGCTGACATCTCGGTCTCGTGGCCTTGTGGCATTAGAAGCAGCCACTTCCACTGTAAAGTTTTGGGGGTTTTTTTTCATCTGTGGACACACGTGGATTCATGTTCATTCCCACAGAAAGAGTTTGTGTTTGCGGGACTACCTGAAGCCTGAGAGTTTGGTTTTCAGCCTGTACTGCAGCCAGCTCGCGCTCCTTGTCTCTGAGCTGTTGTTGTGTTTTCTCATAGGTGCTCCGCAAACTTTTCACATCGTCTCTCGAGCTCACTCTCTTCTGACAGTCGTCCAGAAGGGATTTCTGCAAAGGGAACGTATTTTAGCCAGTGAAGACTTTTTGTAACAGCATCCAGCTGCCGGAGTAAAAAAAGAAAAGAAAATGTCTTCGGAGTGTTTGGTGACTTTGATTTGTTACCTGCAAGGTGAGGTTAGCAGATATGAGGGAACTGTTCATCTGATCAAAGTTCTCCATGGCTGCCGTGCGGATCTTAACCTCTGACTCTAGACTCCTCTTGTGTGCATTGGCAGCCTGCAGAAACACGTGGCACACAGCTTTTTTCAGATTTATGCACAGCTTTACAGGTCAGAGTTTGATGAGGAATGTCAGTGCATCCGGTCACATGGTGTTGTCATAATCTTTACCCTGAGTTCCTGCGAAAGCTTCTGCATTGATTGCTGCATTCCTCCAAACTGTCCGTACATCCGCTCTCTAACCTTTTCAAGAGAATCTCTCACCTGCAAACAGAAACCAGGAAAACACAGATATCATCTAAACAGAAACCCACTCTGCCTTGTATGGATGATGTGATGGCAAAAGAATGATTGGCCTGAAGGCTCAGTCTTTCCTCACCTCCCTGATGTATCTCATCTCATCCTGTAGGTGACTGGTTGTCCACTCGCGTGCCAGCACCTCCTGTCTATCTGAGCCTGTCCTCTGCACTACACCATACACTTTGGGCCCATGATGCTGCAGCGAGGTCTCTGGCACCCCATTGGTCATGTCTCCGAGGTGCTGAGGGAGACAAGATCGTCCCGGTCAGGTTTCTGTAGCTACCTACCGCTGAGGCAGGCTTATGCTGGCATGGTGTCTCTGTGTTTGTGTGCACACTTACAGATGCACTGCATGAGTCTGCATGTACATGCACATGCATACATATGTGCAAGTGATCAAGTATTTCAGCGCCCACGCTGCTGTGCAGTGGAAATAGGAAGTTGGCAATGTGCAGCTAAAAAATGGTGCAGAGTGCATCGAAGGTGTCGTGTTTCTGCAACCCAGGACATGAGCTGCTGCCCATTTCTGTCTATTGTGCCTCTAACAGCCAATGAAAACAGATGCACACCAGCACAGGAGCAGTGTGGCACAATGCAATGACTAAATAATACACAGCAAAAGTCCTGGGCACAAATAAAAACAACTTTAGCTCAGAGACTACATTTTAATCAGTATTTCAGCTTTAATTCAAGAGCAAGGTGCTTTACTTGATAAAGAGAAATACAGCTAACACTTTTGTTCATTATCAATTGGTCTTCCTTGATAACTTTTATTTATAAAGTGCTTCACAGTGTACATGCGCCAAAATAGAAACACACTGTCGAGCATGCGATCATATATCCTTATATACACACATTTGGTGTAAAATGATGAAGAGCTGTAAACAGACGCTGCAGGGATTTTTCTTCTGCTTCAAATGTAACTTAAGCAGTCAGTTATTCTAATTGAATTGAATGTTAATTGAATATCTAAGTAAGTCAAGTTTAAATTTTGCATGATCCAGCTCATTTTATTAGCTTTGCCATAGTTTATCACTTGAAACAAATAAAAACAAATAGAAACACTTTGAACACGCCTGCTGTCTTTAAACTGTGATGGTCACAGCATTTGCCACGGTCACCTGTGAGCCTCTGTTCATGCTGAATGTGTGAATACAATATTAATGACAGCCTCACGGTGCATGCGCAGGGCTCACTCAATGAAGCAGTGGCTGCTTTGTCTACCTGCTGAGGTGACTCCTGGCCAGGTGGACTCTCTCTTTGGATGAGCCCGTTCTTCCTCTTCCACATCCCATTGACATCTTTTTCATTTTCAGTCTGCAAAATAAAACAAAAACAGGTCAAGAACACTGATGTGGATGGCTTCCATTCAACCATCCTTCCATTGATTCTTCCATTCTCTTGACAGCATATCCAAGCAGGGAGCCTGCTCTTAGGTTCATTGCTAATTCTAACATCCACGTCTTTAGTACAAACAAAGCACTCAGTCAAACTCCACGCAGGCACAGGTTCAACGTTCAAACACTACACTGCAGGTTCAACCCCATAACTTCATGTTGTGAGGCTATAGTGCTGACCACTGAACCACCATGCCACCCACAAAACATTTTCAATTAAGCTTTATCATTTCTGTATATATTCTACAGCACGCCTCATGTGAGCCTAAAGTGCAGGATTCTAAACAAAAATGCAAGTAAACACGCTCTTGAAGTATTTATTTAACTGTGTGTGAATATTATATAGTTTCTATAGATCTATAGATAGATCTAGAGATAGACAGATTCTGATATCTTTTAGATGTCTCTACACAAAGAAGTCATTCATTGAGGACTACTACTCAGAAAAAGAGGCATCAGTGTCCACATCTCACAGAGATAAGAGCGAGGAGGAACAAAGACGCCAGTGTGGTCTCGTGGACAGAGCCCAGCCTCACATTTCTGCACCACTCAATCTACAGAGGACCTGCTGTTGAGAAATGGAAAAGGCCTGCTAATAGGCGGGAGGATGTGGATTCCAGCAGATGGGAGGGAAGCACAGCCATCTTTATCAGTTCGCTTCACGAAGCCCTGCGTGCTGCCCATTCAGCTTTGACCACTGGTCCGTGTTTACCTGCCCTTTGTCAGTTTTGTGGGAGAAGCACTCTGGCTTACTTTTCCTCTGTTGCTTGAGGAGCTTGAGCTGTTCACAAATGTTAAAAGAAAATGCTCGGAGACAGCTCGGTAAAATAATCTTGCATCAGTGCATTGTCATCTAACACTGTCATTTGTTTGTATGAACTCACTCCTCTATCATATGACTGCACCGTCTGACCTGATTAGCTCCTTATTTGTCACACAAGCACGGAGGATGCTCACTGTAGCTCACTGGGCTGAACCGTGTTCACTTTACGGAGATGAAATCCAATGCTGCCGGTATAGAAACATCGTCTGGTAACAGTTCTCTGTTTACTTCCTCTGCGTGTGTCATGATTCACATGTGCTACATATCATCTAGGCCGCAGTCGCCGGTTGGATATAATCCACGATGTCTCGAGTTGCAGGACACGCCCTTTCTAACTTCACAGCGAAGAACCAGCATTCCTCTTGAAACACGGTATCGCTGGATATCTCTGAGAAAAGATATTTTGGTCATTTCCTTCCTCGTTGATTAACTGGATGCAGTCCCCATTACCACATTCCTGCTGACCTTCATTTGACCTTCCATGGTGATGACATCTAAGATCTAAGATAGTGTAACTAGAGCGAATAGTTATCTGAAAAACAAGCATCAGTACCCAGTGTAAACACGTGCAGGTATTTTGCAACAACACAGTAATTACAGCAGCGCCTGCAGAGACCTTAAAGCGCCACACTGAAAACATGATGAACAGATGAACTAGGCACAAGTTTTAACCTCTTGAACCTCTAACTGGCTCCAGCCTGATGTTTTCTACTCTGTGCTGCAGTTCCACGTACACTTTAAGCTTCAGTTTGCTGTTGAACTTCAGTGAAACTGAGGCTGATGACTTCATGGTAATTAGGGTTCAGGAATGATAAGACTGCTTTCAGACTTGCAGCAGTCACTGGCGACATGTTGTCTAATACTTTCTGATAGGAAAACTTTTTTCACATGATACAAAAAAACAGGAGTGGTAGTGTGGAGTAAAGTGGTATCTTTATGATAGCTTTATGATGATTGTGAAATACCTCACTGTAAAGAAAATCTGCATCTGGATTGGTCTTAGAAATCCAGTTTGTGTTGCCATGAATCCCACCCAGCAGCGGTGATGTTACTCTGTTACTCAGCTGTTTTTATTTTTAAAAACACCCTTTTCTTCACTCGTTACATCGCTTGTTGCCATTTTCATCTCACAGACAGATGCTGACGCTGTTGCTGGAGTCACCGATGTCTGGGACAAACCGGCTGCCACTCGCAGAGGGCACAAATCTGCATCCTTCCCAAACACTAAAGTGCACATCAGCTCTAAACACGTGCGCTTCCCTCCACTCTGTGTTCACACTTCATCAGACTGTCCTTTGTCATCAGTTCCTATAGTCGCAGTCACACCCTCCCAAAGGCAGCCACATTCAGAGATTACTTCAGTGTGCTATCGGTGGAAAGAGTGGACATGTTGTACAAGGTTCATTCAAAACTAGCCATCATGTTTCTGGATCCTGCACACCGCACAGTCATACAAGGAAAAACCTCTCCTCAGAGATTAAACCTAACCCAAGCATTGCACTCAGTTCTCGCACTTTCACTCTGAAACTTTGGCGTCAGCCTCCGATCACAAACAAAGACCGGGGCAGAGCCACCAACAGCAAACACCCACGCAGCCTGCGGCGTCGACTCAGCCATAATTCACAGGATCACAGAGCATACCAGCAAATATTAAACGTGACTAAGAGTAATTCTACACCTCGGTAGGCAAATATTAATTTCTCATGAGCTCTGTTTGTTTTAGTTACCGTCCTTTGGAGTTAATGCTGTTAATACTTATTAGCATTTTCTGTTCTGTGGAAGAGTGTTAGAGCACAGATGGAGCAGAGCTTTGAGGTAAATGTAAAACAGCTGTGTGTGCATTATCTCTCTCACACACACACACACACGCCCTCCTGTCATGATTGCATAACTGGACCAGATGATAAAAAGCACATAAATCTCAGCTTTTCCACCATCTTTCTTTTAATGGTTTATAAGATGAATTAAGGTGTGTGTGGGAGGGGTTTCTGTTTGGTTTTTATTGGTGCTTTTACTCCCACACGTCACCATTTCTGATCAGCAGTGTCAAACTGAGTCGAGTGTGATGACGTTTCCTCTTTAATGTAACTTTACGTATTGTACCGTATGGATTTGAAGCCGGTTCTGGCCAAAGTAACAGGGTGGAGGTAACACCGAGGGAGACGCAAAACTTACAGTGTCTGACTTTTCATTTTTTGGCTCCTTGTTTCCATTTTCTCCGGGATACAGAGTCAGTCTCAGGCGTCTGATTCTCCTCTGGAAAACAAAACAAACACACACGGACAAAAAAGGCAAATGTTTGAATTTAGGGGAATTTACAGATGGTCATCATGAAGAAAAATAAAATTCAGATCTAAATATCTCTGACATTGTGGCAAAGCTTGAACTGTCAACTAAAAAATTCTGTGAGCTTATTCACATACAGCAGCAACAGGGCACCAAACAAAGTTTATGTAAATGCAAAACAGAGTAAACAGAGTAAAATGTTAAAAAGTAAAACAGATACATGGAAAGTGGGAACTCTGTTTGATTTTTTTTACTATTTTGAGGTTTTTCATAAGAAATTTAGTACAAAGAAAAAAACCGAACTCTTCAGCAGACCCTACAAGCGTGCTTCACCAAATATTACGGTACGCGTTGACCTGCATGAGGCGACCATGGGAATAAAAGAAAACGTGGGGCAAGTACAAAGGCCTGTTTTATCAGAGAGCTGTTCAAATAAACATGACAGCTCTGCCTCCTGCACGCTCAGCTCCCATTACACACTCGTGTAAGTGAACAGAGCCACACATCCTACAACAGAGTCAGAAAACGTTAGAGAGAGAGAAAATGGATCTCTTTGCTTACAGACAGGAAAACAAGTGTCGGCAGAGTTAAAAGCAACAGCCGACAAACAGAAGAGGGGAGGAAAAAACACTGGACAGGACAAAACACAGAGAGAAGAGGAGAGCAGAGAGAAATGGGGGGAAAGACAGAGAGATCTTCAGTGTTCTCGCTTCTCTCGAGCTTCTTACCTCCCCTAAAGCCTCTGGAGAGTCCTCTGTTGTGGTGGTGGTGGTGGAAACAGTTGGTCTTGAACCGTAGCGAAGCATGTCTCCTCTAATGTCCACTCCTGGCTTCTCTTCCTCTCCCTCTCTGGCTGTCCTCCCACCCTTCCTCTCACTCTCCTTCCTGAGTTCTGCTCAGATTCTCAGAGCGACCATTCGCCCCCGGCCCCAGCCTGGGAACAGGAGGGAAATTCCACTCTAAGTCTGCTTCTGCTGCTGCGTCTGCAGTGGGTATCCTCAGGGCTGCGAGGTTCCCCCTCAGTCAGTGAAATGAACAGGTGCAAACCAGCTCTCAGCAGCACAAACACAACAATGTCATTGTCCTAATTCCAGCCAGACTGCTCCTAAAGCCACCTGACTGACAGGCTTGTCAGTCACTCAGCAATCCTCTCTGCACTGACTACGTCTCTCTGCACTCCCATCAGACCTGTCGGGCCACATTTCACCTGCTTCGCTCTTTTGCGCCTCCTGGCCCTGAGAGCAGGACTTTCACAGGCAGGGCGGGTCCTTTTACTCGGGCTGGGACAGGTGGAGCGCGCCTTATCAAAGGGAGTGGCTAATAAGAGGAGCCCACTGTTCACATGAAGCAGTGAGACAATAGCTGCCTGCCAGGCCTGTTATACATACAGGAGTTATTAGACTTAAAACACATTTAGATTAAGTTTTGCCTTGTGAGAAGAAGAAATAAAACACATTGAGTGGCAGAGGTAGGGTTTTCATTGAGATGGAATCTGATTTCTCCCTCTTATTCACTCGCTCTCATTATTTGCTCTCGCAGGTAGGACTGCCAAGTGCATTATGGGGGCTCTTATATAATAACCTTTAAAAATTAAGGGTCTTCATCTGATTGAAACCTTTACATAAGCCAAGAGAGTTATTCTTTTTTAAATTTGCTAATAAAAGTCCATAATACAACTTAAATTGGAGGTTATATGTAGGAAGACAGGCCATAGAATAAAAAGACAAAAAACAAAAGCTCATAGACTTCCATGTCTGAATGGACAGTATGTCATGCCCTGTGATTTCAAAGGTCTGTTTATATCAGAGTTTATTAGTTTCCTCACTTCTTTCTCCTACTTTCCTTCTGTGTCTGTTTCCTGTATCGAGTTTTCCTGTATCGAGTTTCCCGCTTTAGTCATTGTTACTTTCTTCCTGTTTTACTTTGCTACTTAGTTGTCCTCTGTCTTGTGTTCAGTCTTACTTCCTCCTCTGTGATTGTGCTGATTGTGTCCACCTGTGTCTTGTTTCCTCCCAGCTGTGTCTCTGGTCAGTGTGTGAGTATAAATAACGCTGTCCTACCTTTGTCCTCTGTTACAGTGTTTGCTTACCCTTAGCACGCTTCCTTCTGTCCCCCCTGCTGGATTTAGATGAATTTGTTTATGGACTTTGTTATTTGAATTTTATGCACCAATGAAGGGGCGCTTTTTGTTTGTTTCACCTGCGTCACCTCAGTCTTCTGAACAAACCATACTTGTTCTGTTTTCAATCGTACAGTCATAAGCTTTAAGATTTAACGTGCTGACTGAGGCCTGTAGAGTCTGAGATGTAGTTTTTTTCCTTTTTTTCATTACATGATCTGACCTGGGGTTGAATTTGCTGGGAAGATTGTGGCATTGTGTTAACAAACAGCTGAATGATACAGACCAGTAAACCAACAGAACTTGTGCTTTTATAGAGGTGCTGATTGTCACTTAATCGAGTGCTTTTCATTAGCAGCACCTGGCTGCTACTCATCCTCCTAATGAAAACAGCGATGGTGTTGCTTTTCCACATGACTGTGAATGCCAACCAGCCAACAGAGGAGGTGCTACACTAGATCAATTATTGATATCGTGAGAGGGATGAAAAGAAAGACCGCACTGCAAACATGATTTTTTAATGTTCTTCCTCACCACTCCATGTTTTACTTGGTTTTACACTGACATAATATGCGCTCTGCTTATGATTATTCATGCTGACAATTATCTTTGAGGACCAGAAGCACAGTCTTCTGCACAGCCAGATCACATTCCTCCTTTGAATGGCTGCAGTCACTCCCTTTCAATAGAAACTAGAGACAAAGTCTCTGAAGAATGAGGAATCAAGTTTAAAGACTCAAGTTGCCTGGCGAGAGCTCGTTCAGCTGCACGTGGTGCTTCATCAAAGCTTTGCTGTTAGCTCACGTCAATAAATATGATGAGAAAAGCTCGCAGAATAATACGAGATGCATTTCTACTGGACTCTGTGGTTAATCGTTAACCAGACATCAAACAAATGGTGTTTCTGCAATCAGTAAGGCAGCCACTCTGTCCAAGTCCAATGTCATCTGGAAGTTCTCTCTCATAATGATATTCACCTCCCGTCACAATCACAAAGTCACTCTCTGGATTAAATCCACAGTACTGGTGTCACAACATCAACCAGATTTACAGGACGAAAAAGTTTCTAAAAATACTTTCTACATAAAGAAGCAACATGAGTACATTTATAAGCAGAAAACAGAGTAATAATTCATACATGACAAATAGCAAAATAGAGTAAACAGTGTTGTTAATACTGTTAGTAAACAAAGAACACTAAATAGCGATTTTAATTCATCTTTAGCGATGCTATTAGTTATGTCATAATATTGTGACATAAACAATAACATTCTTCTTCTTAACTAATTCAAGGTCACAGACAGGTTGGAGTCTGTCGCAGGTGTCATAGGGCAAGACGTGGGGTACACCCTGCACCAGGGGTGGGCAACTCCAGGCCTCGAGGGCCGGTGTCCCTGCAGGTTTTAGATGTGTCCTTGAACCAACACAGCTGATTTAAATGGCTAAATTAGCTCCTCAACATGTCCTGAAGTTCTCCAGAGGCCTGGTAACGAACTAATCATGTGATTCAGGTGTGTTGACCCAAGGTGAGATCTAAAACCTGCAGGGACACCGGCCCTCGGGGCCTGGAATTGCCCACCCCTGCCCTGCACCCTGGACAGATCACCAGTCTATCAAAGAGTAAACACAAAGAGAGAGAGAGACACAACCTCATATTCATACCTGCAGCCAACTTAGACTCACCTGCTCCACACAACAGACCCACACTGTGGGTAGATTTAAAGAGACTGTGAAGCAACAGTGCTGACCAGTAGACCACTATACCATCCGTTAGTGTGTTTTTATTAATCATTCACAAATGTTACGTAAGTGTGAGTCTGTCCTCCTATCCAGAGCATCAAATACTACCTTTTAGTCAAACCAACTGACAAGCCAGCGATATGGAGAAGGTGTGTTTCAGCAGTGGTCCTATAAACCACCACATGCTGCATTAATGAGAACAAACTCATACTTTAATCACTAATCATGATCCTTGTCCTGCTCAAACAGGTTTTGGAAAAAACTCTCACGTTGTCAACTGAAGGTGGGAGCACTGACAAGTGAAAAGAAAAATAAACAGTGAGTGAAGCAGGCCACAGCCTGCAGCCACCAGCTACACAGTCTTTTATTTATGACGCCACCACCCGATCTTCCCATTTCACGCTCTTTAAAGCAAATGGAAATGGAAATTTTAACTTTATAATAAGTATGATTGAGTTTTTAATGATTAGTAATAAGTGCATAAGGATGTTTTAGGAATGTAAAAAATATTAGCTGGAGTTTTACTTCTACCCAAAGGAAATATGGTTAAACTGGTATGTACAGGTTACAGATTAAGATTATTCAACTGATACTACCGTAGCAAGAGCACACAGAGAGCACAACTCCCTGCGGAGGGCAACAGCTGTACTAAAACTTTGTAGTTTAGTCTCTGTCCCGAATATTGTAGTGAGGTTTGGAGATGACACATAAAAAAACTGTGGGTAATATACAGTTTTACTGATTTCAAATTTACTGTGACTTTGACCCAATTTTCACCAAAATGAAATCAGCTCAAGCTGTATCTGGTTTAAACTGTCACACAAAATTTGTGGCTGGAAAAGCAAGTTTTTGCTCAGGAAACTTTTACTTTTTCCGGTCGAAGGCAGAAGATCGTGGTTTTGAAGACACCAGCCAGGTGGGGCCTGTTTCTGTGCAGACTTTGCTTGTTCTCTCTGAGTACTCTAAATACTCGGGCGTCCTCCTATCGTTAACAGCTACAGGCTCCAGCCCCTCTGTAATAAACACGAGGAAATGAATGAGTGATGATGGCGGTAATTGTCAGATTTGATCAGTAATGACTACTTCTGTAAACTCCTGATCACACAGTAATGACTCAACATTAACAAAATGCTAATGTCATGTATAATACTACTACAATCCAAGCTGTTAGAATGTATTTTCTTCGACACTTTAAGTACATTTAAAAACAAACTGCATACTTGCATTTATTTATTTCCACTGCAGTAGTTTTACGTAGAGGAATGTGTATTGCTGTTGTGACTTAATTAAAGTATCTGAGCACATTCGCCACCACTAGAAGACAATGATAATTAGAGGTTCACATTAAACACAGTAATAAGGAGACTATTGTTTGCTGTTGCGTGCAGATTACAGGTGTTTGATCTTTTTGGTGTGTGGGACTGGCTGTTTGTGTGGGATTTAGCTGTTGAAACCGACAACAGTAGTTGGTGACTTCTCAGCATCCCTGCAGCAGTGAATTTCAGCTTTTCAGCATGATCCCTGGTTTTGGCCCCAAAAGTTTGATCCCATAGAGTTTTGTGCATTTAGTGTAATATTCTGTCTTTAGTTCCTACTTCACGATTATTCCAGCGATGAGTTTCATCGAGATTTGGTTCATGTCTTGATTTTGATCCGACATCTCTTTTTTCATGTTTAATGTGAGTCTTCTAGTCTCTATGTTTAGCATATGTTCTTACCTAGCTTTCCTTTCCTGGCCATGTTTTCCTTGCATCCCCGATTGTTGCCATTTGTTTTATGTTGTTCTGAGCTTTGTTCCCTACCTCTCTGTGTATAAACGGTCCTGCTGTATGATCAACCCTTTATGTACAAATAGTCCTGATGTCAAATAAATAACTGTGTATAAATAGCCCTGTCTTCCATCTTGTGTCAGTTTGACCATGGATCTCGTCCTGTATCGAGTCCTCAGTCCCACACTTCATCATCCCCTGACAGCTGCAGCAGCAACTTTACAACTGTTGACGGACAAATGCTGCATCTGTGATGAAATGACATGGTTTCACAACGCCATGATGTTTTTAGAAATGTGAAGCAAGCAGGTGTTGCTGTTGGAGTTCAGTCACCCAGCATTAATGAACTTTAGGCCACTGCTTTTGAGGTAATCATATTTCCATTTCATGTCACTTCCTAGCAAAAAATGTACTTTTAACTCCAGGAGAGTAATCAGACAGCCAGTGCACGAAATACTTCACATTTGCTAAACTTCGAACACTGAAATTTGCAAAGTAATGCACAGGTTTTATTAATAAAAACTCACATTCACTGATAATGCTGGTGTGCTAATGTGATGT